CACAATATATGTGCAATTAGAGTGCACCATCTAACAAATAAATACTTTTAGTATATTGCAGCTTTTTTATGGATTTAAGTTATTTCTTAACTTACTGCTTTTTTATGAAAAATTTATTGTTGGGCAAAATATTTGCAAATGACATGGGGATGTCGGAAAAACATCGATGTATCGAGAATATCGATGTTTTGCTTCGATGCATCGAAAATTTTCAACTCGATATCTAAGTAGTCGATGTATCGAAAAAATCGATGTACATTTCGACGCATCGAATCAAAAAAAGAAATCAAAGAGCATTTTATGCATAGTTCGCGAATTTCTGAAATAAAGTGCTTTGAAAAGTGGCAACGCACTGGTGAGAAACTAAACAGTAGGGTTGTGATTTTTTGGACTCCTTTTGAATTTGCAAAGCCGTTGGTACCAGGCAATGAACCACATTTTATTTAAATTGGTTTTAATATATTACGTACGGGAACGATTTGGGATTATTAGAAATTCTCCTTTCTGTGTTGCCAAAGAAGAGAGGCTGGACATCTTTTGCAGAGAACAGCTTTCTGCGTAGGCGGCGTTCGGTCGCACTTAGATATTATTAGAAATTATTTCTATGTTGCCAAAGAAGAGGGGCTGAACACCTTTTGCAGAGAACAGCTTTCTGTGTAGGCGGCCTTCGGCCCACATTTGCCTCAGGGATGCAAGATAAAAAAATACATCGATGTTTTTTCGATATGATGCATCGGTGCATCGGTTTATGTTTTTTACATGTTGTTGATTTGCTTTTGTTTTTATTATCGCTAATCTAAACTTTAATAATTAAATTATAAATTTTGTACTATTCCAAGTGTTTCATGCCTTTTGATACAACCCAACAAACATTTAGGTTTGAGGTTAAGTGGAGAAGTAAGGTATATCTCAAATCTCTAACGTTGTTTTTCAACAGTACCTCAAGTGGAGGATCATAGCGTTTTCAACAAAAGGGGCATTTTTCTTTGTATGAAAAAAATGACTGTTTCTCAAGTTGAGAAAAAGCTAGTAGTCAACATGAACTCCAATGTAATTCTCGAATTGGTCTCAAACATACCATTAAAATACTGAAATTGAAATAGTAAAATACCTTATACCTTTTTGATTGAAACGACATACATAGATGAATTTAAATATTAATTTTTCATTTTATTACCCATTAAAATTATGTAGTTAATGAATATCGTATTACAATAATTCACTTCACAGTATACAGTACGACAGTAATTTTGCGCTCCCAAGACAGTCGGCTCTACGTAACCGCAACGACACAGATTTATATCTGTCCAAGGACTGTCACTCCAGCAACAATCCCCAAAAACCCTTTGGGGAACTTGTATGCTGCTACAACAACAACAGCAATTTTGCCACTTGATTCACTTCGCGTTTTATTTTCTTTCAAGATTCTTTGAGGATACTTTGAAGATTATTTAATTTTCCTAATTTACAGCCCTATTCTGTTGCCCTCACATAAATCACCACACTCACTATTGTGAGGTTTCTGACTATTGTGAGGTTATCCCTATGCTGGCGTAAATTCAAAAGCTCATACGCTCACAATTGTCAGGAAATTTATGATGTACGAATGAGACCCTCACAAGAGAAAACCAGCCGATTTTTATTGAGCAATTGAATAATGTTTTGTTAATTTTCGTTCGCTATCAGTGTCTGTGTTAAGTTTTTTTTTTTTTTAACTAAAAGTATATTCAGTAATGGCGGAGTTATTGCTTGTTTTTGCGGCAGTTTCGGAAGAGTTAGAGCAGGNGAACTATGTGAAGTACTGGAGCTACTCCTGCTTTCTTATTTCTTTTTAAATTCGCCTAGAAAATAAGTAAAATCAGTAATTATCAAAAAAAATAAAAAAATTGCAAAAATATTTACTTTTCCTATTGTTCAGCATCCATCTTTTGTATTTATTTTATTTACGAAACAGCTGTTAGACAGCAAAATGCTTTTCACCTCGTGTGGTGATTTTTTTGAGCTTTTTTCTTATGAGGTGTGGGCAAGAATAACCTCACAAAATAAACCTCACAAGAAATCTCACTAATTTTTGCTCACAACTCAGTTGTGAGGTTTTTATTAGAATAGGGCTGTTAGTCTTTCACTTGATAATTAAAAATTCATTTCTCACTTTTTACGTATCTTCGCGTCGGTTAGAGATGAGTTGGAGAATGATGTAGGATATCAACTTGAGAACTATGAATTTCTCCAAGAAATATTTTTTGGTGTTAATTGGGAAGTCAGTGCTTTCATTTGCTTAAAAGAAGCGAAAACGCAAAAATTTTGATTTTTGGTCATTTTTTTAGAGACCTATATCCTAGACAGTCGGGAGTTGCATATTTGTTAGTCGCGGTTCATGCCCTCTCCAAAAAAAGGGGTGAGAGGTGCCACACCTCCGCTTTCGCCCCACGTCCTTTTAACCAACGCCCGTATTGGAAAGTTTACCGTTGTGGACATGCTATTATGTAGATACCGCTAATCTTGATTTAGTAATTTGCAACTCTGCCAAACTCAATCTGTTCCTACATCTGATCTCAGCTCTCACCTGATGGCGCACTAAACAAACCTATTTTTGTTTGACATTTGGCTCTCAAAGGGAAATTGTCATTCATTAACAGAATTTTTAATACTTTTACTTGGCATTTAATCGTGTTAGTTGTAGCTTTTGGAATTAATCACAGTGATTAAAATGGCTGAAATCGCAGAAAGTTATAGCAGTAAGGATGAAGATGATGAAAGTAGTGATGAAGAGTTGTATCAAGCAGGAGAGCAGCAATCTACCTCCACAAGTTATAAACACATTGCTCTGCAACAACAACAGGTTGCCTCACTTTCAGCGGACAGCGATGATAGCGACGATTCGCCGCCGAAAAAAATGAGCTGTATTGAAATTCCAGCCGAAAGCACTGCCAATGAGGAAAGTGATGGTTGTCGCGAAGATGATACAGTGGTATCAATTACAGATGGTAATATGCGTGTTGTTGCCTCACATTACAATGAACTAAAGGAAACAGGGCGACAGGAGCGACTCAAGTCACGCATAGTCTATATGCGAAATTTTAACAACTGGCTGAAAAGTCAACTTATTGCAGAGTATCTAGCGCGCATTAATGAACAAAAGCGTGTAGGTGACCCAATGCGTGTTTTGGATTTGTGCTGTGGAAAAGGTGGCGATCTGCTCAAATGGGAAAAAGCAAATATTACCCATCTTATATGTACCGATATCGCCGAGGTGTCGGTGGATCAATGCAAATCGCG